ATTTTTGGGCCCTTATTATCTATTAAATTCTTTTTGCCTCTTATTATATAGGGAAAATTGCACCAAAATGGAACCAACTTTCACCTGATTCTTATTTTTGGGAACCAACTTTCAAAATCGTCATTTAGGGGTATCTATCAAACGTTTTGTTTATTTAAGGGTCTGGTTGATCTGTTGAACAGGTAACAGGTAATTTAAGGGTCTCTATCAAACTTTTGGTTTGATTTGCCAAATTTGATTTAAACTTTAATATTGATACGGATTTGTTAGATATAAAAATCTTGAATGTGATATTTAATATTTATTTTTTATTGCATTAGTAAAAAACAATTTTTATTGTGGTAATTTGGATTTTCTTTTGAAAAAATCTTCAATTTGACATCTGAATTAAAAAAAAGGAGATTTGAAATGAAAAATAGATTTTATTGCATTAATATTTGGAAAAAAATGAATTTTAGTTATTTTTCTATAATTATTTTGCAAGTTGGTTCCCCAAAATAAGAATCAGGTGCAAGTTGTTTCCCCAAAATAACAATTTTGAAAGTTGGTTCCCCAAAATAGGAATCAGGTGAAAGTTGGTTCCATTTTAGTGCAATTTTCCCTATTATATACTACAATTTTTTGATTTCTTTGATTTATTAAATTCTTTTAGACTATTATTGTATTTTAAGAGAAAAATTTGGGCCCCTAATATTTTTGGGCCCTGGCCTGTGCCGCCCTCCCCCAAGGACGGCCCTGCTGGCTATACATCACTACTGTCGAATGTTGCCTACACCGCCTTGCACCACGGCTCCATTCCATTATGGATGGGGCCTTGGACCGTAGCCTTGTGTCATCTAGTTGTCGACTTGGACCACGACCTTCCGTCATCTAGTTGCCGACTTGGACCGCAGTCTTATGACGATTGGCTGATAGCCTAGACAACGGCCTTGTGCCATTTGGTTGGCGGTCTGGACCACGACATTTTGTCGTTTGGGTGATGTTCTTTCCACGACCTAGTGGCGGCTGGGGACCACATCTCATGCCGTCCGGTCAACTCATGCCGATTTTCGGCCCAAGAGGTTTTCAAGTCGAGAGGTTTTTGGACCACTATGATGGTCCAAATTTTTTGGGTTCGAGGAGGTTTTGGATCTAGTTTTTGGGTCGTGACCAGTGATCCCTTTTAATTGGATTAATTTCGTTTAGTTGTTATTTTCCGATTCCCGACCTTTTTATTAACGTTTATCTAGTTTGGCCAAAATTTAAATTTTTTGTTTAAGATTTAGAATAATATATGGTATTTCCCCAACATACCCGTGGGTTGTTTGGTTGCTTTAATTTAGGAAAATTAAAATGTATTAATTTCAAGGGTAGTAATTTTTAAATACGACCTTCGTGTCGTTTTTATTTTAATTTTCTAGATAGAATAATTGTAAAATAGATTAGAGCATGTTATCTTTCTATTTTAAATTGTAATTAAGCTGAAAAAGGCGATCCAAAAGGTAACCTTCTTAGAAAACACTATGTTTTGTTTTAAGATTCGTTTTAAAAGTCTTTATATACGATTAGGATTTCTTTATGGAAAAGTTTTCTAAATAAGTAACCTAAAATATTTTCCCCTGGATTTAAATGGTTACAAAATTGTTTCGAAACCCTAAAATGGTATCAGAGCCACTTTTATATTTAAACAATTAATCGAAAAAAAAATCAGAAAAACGAGATTGGGTTTTTCAGAACGACGACTTGCAATAGGGTTTAGGCCCAAGAGCAATGTGCTAGGTCTGTCGTACAACCCTGAGCTACTGTTGGGCCATCCTCATAGTTGTAAAGCTCCCACACACACCACGAAACTATGTCACTGTTGTACCCATGTTGTTGTGCTGACTTTCGTACCGCCCTTCACACTGGGATCGCTTCGTGCCACGACCCAGTTGCTACTGCTTTGAGGGCCACGACTATTATCATTCTAGTCTATGCCTATGGTGCCTTCGCCATAGATATCAGTCAAACTTAGGTGATGCTCAGTGGATAGTATTGAAGAACATCTTAAAGCATTTGGAAAAAGAACCAAGGATATGTTCTTATTGTACGGCGGTCAGGAAAGAGATATGTGTATCCAAGGATATATAGATGCTAGTTTTCAAAGACTGTGATGACTATAAATCTCAGTCGAGATATGTATTTGTTTAAATGATGATGCTGTGAGCTGGAAGAGCTATAAGTAAAGTACGATAACAGATTCTATACAGAATCAGAGTACATTACAGTGTTGAATGCTGCAAAGGAAGCTTTTTAGATGATGAAATTCATCTCAGACCTAGGAATGGTTCCTAGCATATTGATACGCACTAATTATTTAGTGCTAAACCACTTTTTTCTTCTCATTTAGATAGGTTCTTTTCCATTTAAATCCTAACCTTGAGTCATTTTTCTATTTCTTTGTTTTTGGAGCTAGAGATGATGATATACCTGTTTTAACTCTTTAAAGTAGACTTTGTCAGGATTGGTGTAGCAGATCTCATGCTGCAACATTTCTGTGGCAGCAAGCTGATAGAAGGAACCAAATGGCTAAGGAGAAGAATGACTTTTAGACAAAGTTGGTGGCTCATGGAAGACATTTTGGATGAATCCTAATTTAAATTCAAAGCTGGAAATTAGTTGTCAAAGTAATACATTCAAGTTTTCTTACTTTTGACTAAAGTGTACATGTTAGCAAACTTTGGCTCCAAGTTACTTGTTAATTACTCTTTTGTCCCCACCCCTAGTTTACTATAAATAGGGGGTTTGGTTTAATCTTTTGGTAAGCATTCCAAGCCATTTCAGTAATAAAGAACCGAATTTATGTCCTCTAAACTTTTGTCTTTTTAGTTCCGGTTTAATATATATTTTGAAGGGTATTATGAAGTTCCATAGCATTTCTGTAGCGTTCTAATTTTCCTTTATTTATTATGCTTTCTATTTTTACATTTCGTTCTTAAATACAGTCATTTACATTCCGTCATTTAATTTCATGTCTTTACTTAGGGCCTGTTTACCAAATTTTCCATTAAGTTCTGTATGGATAAATTTGTCTGTCTAGATAAAAGTTTATTGTTGTTTACTTTTTTATCTGAATCAATCGTCTAAATGACAATAATGACCAATCTACCCTTCAAACTCAAACCAAAAATCTGTTGTTCATCAAACCAAAAATCCAAAACCGATTCGATGGAGAAGACGATGGCTCCCAACAAGATAAATTTTTCAACCGATTCGATGGAGAAGACGATGGCTCCCAACAAGATAAATTTTTCAACCGATTCGATGGAGAAGACGATGGGATAGTACGAAAATAGAAAGACAAAACCCTTGCCACCTTCGCCAACCACCAGCTCCTCCGTCTCCGCCATCCACCGTCGAAGAAATTGTGGCCATCCCGTCGATGGAGAAGACGATTGCACCCAAAAGCTGTTGGAGAAGACGATGGCTCCCATCCCGTTGATGGAGAAGACGATGGCTCCAAGACCTGAAATCGTCGGATGGAGAAGACGATTCGTTGGAGAAGACGATGGCTCACACTCCATTCGTTGCTCTCTATCTCTGGTCTAGGGTTATGAAATGAAAGAGGGGATGGGATTGAAAGGGGGAAGCGTGAGATTGAAAGGGGGAGGCGTGAGATGAGGGTATAATTGTCAATATTTTGGCTTAATGGGGACAACACACCCCTTCCCTACTGTGCGAATAAGCCRACATATTTATCATTAAGCCGCAAGTAAACATCCATATATGGCTGTGCGAATAAGCCAAAACAACCATTAAGCTGATTAAGTCAAAAGTAAACACCCCCTTACTGCTATTTACATTTCTTGCAATTTTCTTTCCGTCGTGAGTAGTTAAATATCTTAGCTTGGGTGTGAGACGGAAAGAGTGAGTTTGTAAATCAAAAGAATGTAGATTCTTTTATGTAACAACAATGTTTCATTATTTCATTTCAAGCTTTGTAAAACCAATGAAACTTCTCAACGAGTTGATCATCGTAAAGTGTTAAAGTATCATGGACTCTAAGCTAAACCATTGATTGCACGTCACATTTAGATTATATGGGAAATAGACTTGAGAGAGTTACTGACAAAAAGATTTGTTATCTATTTTTTTCAAATTGGTTAATTCTCGACAGGTTGATCACTTTGAAGTGTTAAAGTGGAATGGACTCATAGATGAGTATGTGAATCTACTCGAAAAAAAATGATTTTTAACAAAGAGATTTGTTTATCCGTATATTTTAAGAACAAAATTTGTCACTTTCACTTGTCCGGATACCACATAGAGATATGGGTTAAAAACTATAACATCAGTGTAATGGTGAAGTACAAGAGGAATACCCACAAAATAAATGATGAAAATAGTTATTATTAATTGCATGTTGTGGCATTTGATAGTACTGGTCTATTGGAATTTGTATTTACATCTCAGCCTAAGTCTTACACTCTAGCTTTCTTTTATTATATGTTAATTTTATCAAGTGTTAACTCACACAAATCAAAGTCTTCAAAATTGCCATCTAAAATCATTTCCTTCATATTACTTTTATTAAACTTTTGTTACAATCCATGTGGATGATACTCAGTATTTGTATCATTTTATTACTTGAAAGACAATTTTGGGACTCCATCAAAGAATGAGGGCACAAAGAGCATTTTTTGCTCTACTCCATCTTAATATGGCGTTACCTCCCACACTTGTCGAGAATGCACCACTTCAAGCACCATCATGTTTGGAAAAATTCACCACCAGGCTTTGATTAAATATCAAGGTTCAACCTTTTCTGCAAAATCTACCGCCACTTTTTGGAAATCCATCAGAACACCCTTTTCAGCAAGAACACCACATCAAGATGATGTAAACGATGATGCAAAATTTGAAAATGAACAACCAAGAGTTCAAGCTCCAAATATAATTAATCTTGTAAATTCAAAAAGTGGAAGATGAACAACCAAGAGTTCAACCTTTGTGAAAATATTTTCCACCCACCAGGAATGCTAAGTCCCAAAATGAAATCTGTCTTTTTAAACAAATGGACGATGAAGTTGTTCCCGATGCATGGGAGAGGTTCAAAGAGCTTTTACGAAAATGCCCTCACTATGGCATTCCTTACTATATTCAACCCAATACGTTTTACAATGGGTTAATTCCCATGGCTAAACATATGTTCGATGCGACTGTAGGAGGGGCCTTTGCAGCTAGTACCTATAAGGAAGGGTATGAAGGGGAATAATAGACTTCGACTCTATTATGCAATCCCTTGGTCGCTTACCCAGTATTAAGGATGAATATCAGTAAGAGGTCCAATATATATTTCGGAAAATAGCTCATCTTAAGGTCCTCCTCACAGGTGATATAACACGCTAAATTTGACCCAAGTGAAGACCAAAGTCCAAGAGAGAGATGACTATGTCATTCATGGAAATTGGAAGTTCAAGGACTAAGAGGTCATCAAATGAAAATAGTGAACTTGATTGTAAGTACGGAGAACACATTTGAATTGAGATATGTGCTTCATGGATATGTGTTATAAGCCAAGAGTTGGGAGGGGGTGATTATAACCTACCTTGGAGGATCAAATGGTATAATGAGATTGCCATTGCATTTCTTTTTAAAAACTAAGTGACCTTTGATCAATGTTAACTGGGTAAACATTTATTTGGAAAGATTATCGATCATCAAAATAATATAGTATGATTTTTGGTGAGCTTCTCTTACCCGATAAGCACTAACCAGGTAAGAGTCACCCTCTTAACTACCTGTAAACATTTTCGGTCCTTGCAATGCCTCTTACTAGATAAAATTATCGGTCTTTGCTATGCTCACCCATAAGATAAGTATTTTGGTCAGTGTTTGGGAAACGGTCCCTAAGAGTACACCCAACAAATAGAGTGTGAAAATGATGAGTTTTGGTGTGCCATTGAGGCAAATAAAAAGCAAGGTTTTAAATGTTAGTGCAACCAGGGGCTTGGCACAATTTTTTTAAAACACTCGAACAAAAATAGTATGAACAACAAAAGTAAAGCGATTGAGTAAGTGAATACAAATATAAAATTTAGAGCGATTCACCAAACTTGAATATATATATATATATATATATATATACTTTCTTCCGGTTCTCTCAGGACACACAATGCATTATATAACAACTTTTATGTTACAATCAATTTTTTTTTGCTTTTTTAAGAAAGAACAAGGTGGATCTCACACCGATGAAAGTCGGTGCTCTCAGGACACACAATGCACTATATAACAACTTTTATGTTACAATCAATTTTTTTTTTGCTTTTTTAAGAAAGAACAAGGTGGATCTCACACCGACGAAAGTCGGAACACTTATTGTGTTTTTATTAATTAATAGATTCAAGTAATCCCATAGTTTCTCTTTTGAGTGAGTTTAACATTTAATGCTTTTAAGGTTAAAAATTGGAGGTGATGTTTTTTTGAGTTGTAGAAATTCAAAAGAGTTTTAGCAAAAAAAAAACTCAATAGTCAAAAACTTTTTCAAATTCTACAATATAACATCGTATTTATATTCAAATATTAGAAATTTGTCAGACGAAATGTAAAAAGCCTGCAAAGGATCATTTGGAATAAAAGCTTAAAGTTTTTGAAACATGTTAAGAAAAAAGAACGTTCAAACAATGCAACAAATAGATTCAAGTTTTCGAAAGAAGCCCAGATACACCATTCGTGCATCCGAAAGTCACTATATTATTTTCTCATTAAAAGACTTTATCAAAAAGTGTGAGACAAATTTTGGTTACACATAAACATAAATTTGATTTTGCTTTTTATAAGGTCTGATTTTATGTAAAGCAAAACTTTCTCTATTCATGTATTTTTGTAACCACTTACACAAACAATCATTTTTGATGTTTGCCAAAGTGTTGAACTACAAATATCTCTTGAAAACTTTGCTTCATTCAAAATGTGTGATATTGATCATGAGAGTTTGTCATCTAATACAATATGATGAAATAATAAGGTCTTACTTTCTTATCTTACTTTGATCTTCAATTAAATTCATCATAACTTCCCAGAGCTTTCTCCATGAACGGGCTTCAGTGACATCCTTTTCGAGGTGATTTAAAATATTTACTGCAATTGACTTTTTGATTCGTCTTTTGATATACCCTATATATGAATAAATCAAATAATAGTTTCTTATACATATTAATGAAAGTATTATTATACAAAATATGTTAGGTTTCATTTCTTATAATCAAAACTTACAAGATCGTGCATTATGAACCAAGCTTGCATCCTGATACTCCATTTTAAGCATACATACAATGATAATGTTTGGTGTTGATTTGATGTTATTGATTTGAACAAGAATGGTCATATATGTTAGCATGTACAAATACCATGTAAATAAAGGAATTACAACATGTTAATGGTCATAAATATTTTAAGTTGTTTATAAATTCTTGTTGCTAAGTGTTTTTTTGTAAAAATGGTGGGATTTTGATTTAAAATGGTATGGGGTGATCTGAATTTGTGTAACAGCCAAACATATCAGCTTTTGGTACATCGAAAGCAACTTAGAACGCTACATGGTGAGTTCATGTAGCCAAGTCAATGAGAAAACGACCATAAAGAACTTGTTAGGTCACACAAGAAATGCACATGGAGTAAGCAACTTGGATGTCGTGTAGAAGTCACTTACAACAAAGGAGGTTGAGTAGTTAGACGAGTTGGCTTGACATCACCTTCACAAATAGCAACATGTTTTATAACATGTGTAATAAGTCTCTTAGGTCTTTTTTTAGGTACAACATAGTTCAAATAACTTGTTATGTACGATGATCATTATTAGTGTTCTATTTAATGTTTGAGCACTTGTAGAGTATGTTGTATCGTGTGTAGGTACTATTCTAGGAGACTTTACCAAACTTACATAATCAAATGAAATTTATGCGACTTACAAAATGCGATATATGTCTATATATATTTGAGTACTTGAAAAGTGATTTACATGCAATATTTTTATGGGCAAATTGCATGAAAAATTAACATATTTTAACTTGATTCTTATTTTAGGTAACGTATTTTCAAAACTTCTATTTTGGTACCTAACATGTAAAGTGTTAAACATTTAAGTACCCGGGTAACCAGTTGAAGACTAATTTTAGATTTAAAACATACATGTTACCAACCACGTCAGCAAATACCACTCAGTTGGATACCACAACACTCGTCACATCATCATGATAACTGGTTAATGCTTCAACTGATTACCCGGGTACTTAATGTTTAAACCTTTATATCTTAGGTGCCAAAATAGAAGTTTTGAAAGTACGTTAAATAAGAATCAAGTTAAAGTACGTTACTTTTTCATGCAATTTGCCCTTTTTTATAGACATTTATGTATTGGTTAATTTAAATAAAAATTATAAGTTATTTATTTAACATTCAGAATCAAAGTAAGTCACATAGGTAATAATAAATATGAACAATAAATATCAAATTTGACACAAAATCACTTTAATAGGGACGCCAAACTTGGTGTATTACAACAAATTTTGTATAACGCTCTTCATTTACATTTATAAAATAGAAAGTACCTAGAATTTTACATTTTGGTATAAAATTTGGTGTTAACTGTTACAAGCTACAATAGATTTATGTTTGCACCAAATTATATGAATATGATGTTATATAGTGGAGATGCCTTAACTACAAAAATGTCTGGAATTTTTTTATTATGCATAATGAGACTTTGTATACCAAACAATAAGTATTAAATGTGTGTACTTACGTAAAAATTAAGTTACTTTCATTCTAGGTCCAAGCTTTATGTTGGTCTCAGCCGAATCTACAAGAGTTTATAGGTAATAATTTGTAGAAGGGGGGGGGGGGGTGGATAAAAACATAGCAACTTTCATTTTTAAAAAACTTATATTGATAAAGAAGATCAATACAAATTTTTACAGATTGTTTGTGGAAGAGATAAGATACATAACTTATCTAAACATCACATAAGTTACAGATAGCAATAAATAAAAGAGTTGCTAAAAGAAATAGGTTAAGAAGGTCTTATGCTCTTCACTTGTTAGAGTGGAAGTCTTGAGATAGAGAAGACGAAGACTGCTGAGAAGAAGAACTTCTCAGCTATTTATACCCATTGCATTAAATGCAAGTCAGAGGGTACAAAATCACGTGTCAAGCTTTAAGAGGTGAGCTTGTCCTTTGTTGCAGATATACAGGCTTTTGGCTGTATATGAACAGTTTTCTTTCATAAAGTAGGTAAACACACTTGAAAACAATAGAGTGACTCCGTACTGTACTTTACTTTGAAAGGTATGGGTTTGTCTTTTGTGTGCAGAAGGACAAGACAAAAACTAATCTTGTTTAACATGATTCATCTGATCGCTGATACTGGAATAACGCTGAGGTTTCTTCGCCGTTTGATGAATCTTGTGTAGATTTCACACTTGTGTAGACGAGCTTGTTATCACTGAAAATCGTTTTTAATCACGAACTTGTTAGTCTTCATCTTCAGCTTCTATCTTCGATATCGCTGAAGGATCTGTGGTGTGAGTTTTTTCTTCCTAAGGATATTTTTCTCTGAATAGATTACAATACATGTTCAACAATCATTGAACAGACTCAGTGATGATCGCTGAAACTGGATACAGATATAGTACACTTTGTAAGGTTAAAAAGAATCATCATTAAATCATTGAGAGAGAGGATTAACGATCTCCCCATATTTAATGATGACAAAGCAACATAAAGAAAATTCTTTAAGGTACAACACTAAGGAAAAGGTACTAGTAAAATACTTGTCCTTTTTAATGGTTATGGGATCTTGTTCAGTGATACAATTTACTATGTAAATTTACTTTAATTGTAAAGGATTACAAGAAAAGAATAAACTTACACAATATTAAAAACTGAATACTGAAAGCATATTCACTGACTAGAAAGGTGTTAGAAAATGTAAGACATAAATAGAAATCATAAGTACATGTCCCATTTATTCTTTTCAGGGATCTTTTTCAGTGAACCAATCATTTACTGAAATATTTTACAAGGGAAAATATTACAATGATTACAATCAGTTTTGGTAGACTTAAAACATAAAAGTTATACATTGA